TAGATAGATAGATCCAAGAAAAATCACAGTGGTCGGTGATAAATATGAAAATTATTTTAAATAAATAAAAACACAGAGAACGAATAAAACATAAGCGCTTTCATTTCTTCTTCATGATGTTTTACAATACTCATGGTAACGTCTATGGTGACGTCATAATAACTTAACGTTAACAAGTCTTTGATTGACGTCATATTTTTCCCGTACTTTCACGGAACAATGCATTAACAAAGCATACAATAACAAAGCAATAAATGTGACTCAGTAACATAATTTACATGTAAAGAAACAATTCTTTTACATTAAACTATTTAATTTAGGTTTGAAAGTCCTTATAAAATGTCTTTCTTTATCACGTCTTTCGATTGTGTACCGCAACCGGAACAAGTTATAACGTATATAACATTTCTAGTTTGACATTATTATATTATTAACAGTAAACTGTTTCCCGTTAAAGTTGAAACTTTGTCCTTGTCGTATGTATGGACAAGTACCACAATGCGGATCCTGGCACTTGGTTGCGGGGAACTATATATCGGGAAGTACATTACGGGAAAGGATCAGAGTACACAAACAACAAATAAACGTACCGCAATATCGCAAACTCAAAGTCAGTGAACACTTAGACGTGTGCGGAAATAGAACTTTTACTGTCTTTCCATTTTATAAACTGCACAACTCTAACACAATCGAAAGACGTGATAAAGAAAGACATCTTATAAGGACTTTCAAACCTAAATTAAATAGTTTAACCCTTTCGACGCAAAAGCGACAAAAATGTCGTTTACTGTGTCAACGCCAAACCGACAAAAATGTCGCTTTGTAATACCTGTTTAACTTTTTCGTTTATTTATCATTTATCTCAGTTTAAATTAAATACAGATATTTCTAAATTTTGACACAAGTATGGGCCTTTATTTTTAAATTGGTACTGGTCTAAATGTGACGTCATATTTCTTTACATTGACGTTAAATTATGACGTAGGTTTAGGAGTTCGCTAGCGTTGTAAAATTTGGCGCGCCATAGCATAAGTTTTTTTAATGATCCATAGTCCTCGGACAGTTTTAACTTATTTCCCCCGGCGATACTTACATACATATAAATATTTTATTGATCGATCAATTGAGAGAGAGAGAGAGAGAGATATCTTGAATATACATCTAGTCTTTAGAAAATGTATTTATCATTCAAAAAATAAGATTTGTTAAAATAAATTGAAATAATAGATTAAATAAATTTAAAAACAGTAATCATTGATATAAATGTTGAAATCTTCCGATAAAAAGTCACTTTGAAATTGTATTGAATTTGCAAAAATTTGTAAAAATGAAATACAGCTAGATACAAGCAGTATTTATTTTTTTTTTTTTTGAGCATTACAACGACAATGATTTCATGCTTAAAATATGTAAACAAAAGAAACAACAATAGACCAGGCTGAAAAGACAATATGATCTATTTATATTCCACAGGCGCTTGCGATGTTAATTCTTATAGAAGATAAATAAATATTGATATGGCGACATCTTTTGAGAATGAATTAATGATAGCTGAAAAAAGGACTATCACCTGTAATCGTAAGCGTTAATAATGCCATTCAAGAAATCTGAGTTTAAAATAAAAATTGATTTGTTTTCATCTTCCAGCTACCTACAGATCAACTAAAAATTAACCTGCCCCCCCCCCCCCCCCCCCAAAAAAAAAATCACTATATATTATTTTCTTTTTTAAGTTTCAAGCTTCGAGACCTGGGATATTGAAACTATCTCATTTTCTATTTTTGATTTTCGTTATTATCAATCAGGTGGAGCTATTAATTATGTTCAATAAGCTTAGTTTTGATATGTAATAAGATGCACTCTCCCGACCGATGAACTAAAAATGTCCCGACTCAAAACTTAATTTGTTTTAATATTCCAGGACAAGATTTGTTGGATCTTATCCCGATAACACATATGTTTAAGTTTTTAAAAACATTAGTTGAAAGATGGCCCTTCTATTCAATACTCATGTTAAAGGTACTTGGACACAGATTTGAAGTTAATTTTTTCTTTATAATATTACGAAGTATATTTTAATAGCATTTCACACAAAAACTAATTAAAAATCTTATTTCATTTAAAAGTTATTAAAACTTTAAATTTTTTGGCGGGTTTGATTGACACATCCTTACACTTTCACAAATTCTAATTTTACTCTTAATATTTAGGAAAAGTGGCAATCTTGTACCTTTAAATTAGCAGGTAATAATAATAAATTGCCACTTTATAAAAACAAAATTTGATTCCGTTTAACTTCTTTATTTGCCTTTTGAGAACTACTCAGCTACACACATCATCAATGTCAAACATATATGTACAAATAATGCATACATAGTGAAAATTGTAAAATATAAATCAATGAGTGGCCGATGGCCTCATGTGGTTGGCCGATGGCCGTATGTGGTTGGCCGATGGCCTTGTATGGTTGGCCGATGGCCATGTATGGGCGGCCGATGGCCTAGTGTGTCTGCATGGCCGATGGCCTGTGAGTCTGCATGGCCGATGGCCTTGTAGAAGTAAACATGTACTATGTATGCTGAAAAATGCAATTTCTTTGGGGTAGAATAACACATGATATATAAAACATTCAGGTGTGAAATGCCTTACATAAACAATTCAGAATGGTAACCAGGACAACATGTTATCTTTAACAGACATTACGATGGATTCTCATGAAAACAAAGTGAATGCTTTTACCTTAGTGCTAAAGAGCTCAAAAACAGATCCTTTTCGTCAAGGAATTAGTATCAGGATCTTCAAATCTGGTAATGTCGTTTGCCCCGTCAACTCAATGGTGGAATATCTCAAGATTCGCAAAACCTGGACTAATGGCAGAGAATCCCCTGCACTTTTCATTGAAGAATGCGGAACTCCACTAACGAGAAACTCCTTCGTCAGTAAACTTAAACAATTACTTCACTCGCTAGGATACAAGGATGAAAAGTACAATGGGCATTCCTTCAGAATTGGGGCAGCAACATCCGCAGCATCCGGTAACGTGGAGGATCACATGATTAAAACATTGGGACGATGGAGGTCCGACTGCTACAACCGATACATTCGTACTGACGACGACACATTGTCCCGTGCTCAACAGGCAATGTGCAACAAGTGATTCAGTGAAAAATTATTATAGCTAGTGCAATTCAAAATGGCCTTAAAAGAAAATGTGTGTGGTTCATAGTGAAATATAGCAGTGAAATCCAAGTCAATTGTGAAATAGTCAAGTGTGAAAGAAATGTTTCTGTGATTCCTAAGGATGTGTTACTTCAATGGCAGTGTTTATCCATTACGTAACATTTGTATCTGTCCAATTCCTAATTATGCAACATACTATAAATGACTCTGTATGTAAATAAAACTAGCCATATTACTTATTGCTAAGACATATCGGACATAACCTAAATGTAACAAAGAACTGCTTGTATAAATTGTTCAACTAAGCATAATATGTCATTACTAGTCTATTAATTAATTTGAATGTTTACTTAATTGGTATACTTTGATCATGTTATATTATCTCTTGTATTAGATGAGTTATTAGATTAAGGATGGTGGTGGTTCAATTTCTTTTGGGGACTCTCAGCTATCCCAAACACATCAATTTTCTGTTTGTGCTACCTTCGTTTTGGGCATTTCACACCTGAATATTTTATATATCATGTGTTATTCTACCCCAAAGAAATTGCATTTTTCAGCATACATAGTACATGTTTACTTCTACAAGGCCATCGGCCATGCAGACTCACAGGCCATCGGCCATGCAGACACACTAGGCCATCGGCCGCCCATACATGGCCATCGGCCAACCATACAAGGCCATCGGCCAACCACATGAGGCCATCGGCCAACCACATGAGGCCATCGGCCACTCATTGATTTATATTTTACAATTTTCACTATGTATGCATTATTTGTACATATATGTTTGACATTGATGATGTGTGTAGCTGAGTAGTTCTCAAAAGGCAAATAAAGAAGTTAAACGGAATCAAATTTTGTTTTTATAAAATAATTTTAATGTAATTAAATATAGTTTATATAAATTAGATATCAATTTCCAGCACTTAGTGTACAACGGTCACGTGATTGTAACAGCCAATCAAATTACTCCTCAAGTTTGGCTTTGTCTTTCTCGCACGGTTCCTGCAAACCTCCTCCTCCCCACCACCACCGGGCCATCTGGAAACGAGAAAGAGAGTCAGCTATCACATTTTCTTTACCAGGGACATGATCACATAGAATAAGGAAGTTTTCGCATGCTGACTTCCAAGTTAATTTTCTCATAAGCTTCATTATAATAGCAGATTTTGAACGACGTTTTCTAATTATCTGAACAGTAGCTAAATTGTCACAGAAAAATTTTATCCGTTTTCCAGACCATTCGTGTCCCCATAGGACCACTGCTACTACTATGGGGTACAATTCTAAAAGTGCCATAGAAATAGGATCATTTCCCAGATTGTGAATTTCTTCTGGCCATTTTCCTTGAAACCACCGCCCGGCATAGTACCCGCCAAAGCCATGGTTTGATGAAGCATCTGTAAATAATGAAATGTCGGTTGTGTCTGTCACATATTCCTCCAAGAAAAATGACTTTCCGTTCCATCCTTGTAAAAATTTCTCCCACATTGCCAAGTCTTTTCTGCATTCGCTTGTCAAATACACATGATAATGGAGTTCCGACACAGAGTGAGCTAATGTAAGTAGGTAAGATGTGAATGATCTGCCAGCTGGGATTACTCGAGCTGCAAAGTTAAAATGACCCAAGACACTTAACAGCTCACGTTTTGTACATGATTTCTTTACTCTAAGGTTATTAATAAGAGTCAAAATTCTGTCGACTTTCTCCAGGGGGATACGGCTCTCCATAATTTTAGAATCGAGTATAATTCCCAGGTATTCAATCACTGTGTCCGGACCTACTGTTTTCTTTTCCGAAATTGGGATTCCGAGCTTTTTGAACACCATAGTCAAAACTGCCATACTCCTCAGTCCGCCTTCGCCCGGGGGGTCAAATGTAATGAAATCGTCAAGTAAATGAAGGATATTTCTTACATTGTAGTTATTCTGGATTATCCAACAGATGGCTTGGGAAAGCATGTCAAAAATTTTGGGACTACTCCTGCAACCAAAAACTAGACTCTTGTAGAAGAAGTATTTCTCCCTCCATTTAATTCCGTAGTAGGGTTGCACATCTTTTGCTATAGGGATTAGTTTAAATGCGTCTACTATATCCGTTTTGCACATGAGAGAATCACTACCAAGTGTCTTTAAAATGGAAATTGCGTCATCGATACGCACATACTGCAATGAATATTCATCTTTATCAATGAGCTCGTTAATGCTTGTTTCAGATGATTGGTTGTGAGGGGAGGATAAATCAACGATTAGTCTATATTTCTTGGAGTATTTTCCTTGAGAAATTCCAATGGGGCTAATTCTGTATACGGAATATGGTGGTACATCGTATGGACCATCCAAGTATCCTTTCTCCATTTCATATTTTATCAGCTTGTCGACAATTTCAGGTTGTTTTCTAGCTGACAGCAAATTTTTGCACTCTAATGTTGATTTAGGTAATGATGATATTCCAGTGGTAAAACCTCTCTCAAGTCCATATATTAATGCGTCAACAAACGTCCTATCTGGATGCCTTTTTAGTTCTGTTTTAAGTAAATGAGTATTTATTGGAGTAATTGATGCCGTTTCACATTGTCTATCTTCGGTCACTTTAGAAGATAGTCATTGTTTGTCAGTTTGAGTGTGGTCCTTTGATTTGTTCTTGGTTTTTGTGCAATTGGAAGCAGAGTGGTTGTTTAACTTGCATTCTGAACATATGTGAAGAAGATTGCAAGAATTCCTTTGGCACCCGTTTGATCCATTGTAGTTATTACATATTTCTTTCCCCTTATCTGAGATTCTTGGTCTTCCCTGAACATCTACGTTACTATGAGTTGGTTTTGTCTTGCTGTTTGGGTTTCCAGCGTAAGGTGTGGGTCCGCTCTTTGACTTGGGACAGAAGTGTGAGGCATGTGTCACGCTACTACAGAACTCGCATCTGATTACGGTTTGACCAGAAAATATAGTGGTGTATAATTTAGTGTCTCTTATGGACCAGTCAATGTGGATGTTTCTCTGTAGTAATAGTGCGCTCGCACGTGCTGAGAAAGCCTTATGATACTCATAAAAGGCTGCTCCTCTTGTGGTAGATGCCATTTCCACAATGTCCCGTTCGTAAGCGTCTAATTCTTGACGCCTTGCGGGATACACCTCACATATTATGTTCTTGTATTTTGTAAAGGCTATTATGAACTCATTAAGGGTTAGGTTTCTCAGTAGTCTTGTGTCGTGAGATTGTTTCAATAATATGTAACGACCATCGCTGTCGGTTACATGATTTTCTTCTGTCTCTCGTGGCATAATAAGTAATGCTAAATTAACATCTTTACCTCGTAGAATGTTGCTTCTAATTGTCGGCGAAATCGTTTCCACACAGGGGACTGAGTCGGAGGAAACTCTGGTAGGTACATCCTGGGGCGTGTTCCTCGGAGAGTTATCAAAGTTTCTCCCGATGTAGTCTGTAGAGGTCCCTGGCTCATTGGATTTGTTTTGATTCTTCTTCAGTTCGTCCACTTCGTTTGTCAACTTCGTAACTGAATCTTTTATGTCTCGAATTGCCTCAATCAATTCGCTGGAATACGACATCCGCCCAGCCTCGTTTCCATTAGCTGCTGATGAAGATGCCGGAAGTGTCTTTTCTACTACTTCCCCTGCGCCATTTTGAATATGTATAACTTCGACATTGTCTGTTTCGTTACTTGTAGCCGATTTTTCTTTAGATAAAACGTTGTCCCGGTAGATTTGTACCAATTGGGACTTTTTCAGGGACACTGGCACCAAGATTCCTTTTGATTTCAACTTTTGCAGAATTTCTGTGGACGTCCAGTTTTCTGGTTCACTATTGTCCCATCGCGTGACTTCTGTATCTGAGGGTCCTGTCGATGTTTCGGATCGTTTCCTTTTCCTCCCAGGCATCTTTCAGTAAGAAATCTTAAACAATCAGTACATATATCACTTCTCAGAGTTCACGCATTTGGGTCACAGTATCCGATAGAAGAAATTAATAGTCCGTGTCCATATCAACAGATACACGTGAAAATACACGTGGTAAGAAGGTAGTAACAATCCACAAACAGGGAATTATTATCACTGTCAGCGTTTAAAATAAGATTATAATGAATAAATCCGTAGGATTTACTTGAGAATTTGCAGGAACCGTGCGAGAAAGACAAAGCCAAACTTGAGGAGTAATTTGATTGGCTGTTACAATCACGTGACCGTTGTACACTAAGTGCTGGAAATTGATATCTAATTTATATAAACTATATTTAATTACATTAAAATTATTTTAACATTGAAATCATGGATGACGAGTTTTCCCTAACAAAAAAATACTATAGTTAACTATAGTTTACTAAAGTTAACTATAGTACCAAAGTTATAACTTTGGAACTTTGATTTACTATGGTGAAAACTTTGGAACTTTGATTTACTATGGTGAAAACTTTGGAACTTTGATTTACATGGTGAAAACTTTGGAACTTTGATTTACTATAGTAAAAACTTTGGAACTTTGATTAACTATGGCGAAAACTTTGGAACCTGATTTACTATGGCGAAAACTTTGGAACTTTGATTAACTAAAGTAAAAATCTTGGAACTTTGATTAACTATGGTGAAAACTTTGGAACTTCGATTTACTATGGCGAAAACTTTGGAACTTTGATTTACTAAAGAGAAAACTTTGCAACTTTTGATTAAGCACTATAAACCCTTAAGATCATGGTTTTGCTTTATATTCTGTACATTATATAAATTTCAAGTTTTAGATTCATTAAAGCTTCAGAATTTTTTTTTTCAAAAAACCCAAATCGTCCCCCAAACAAAACAAAGTACAAGAAATTGTTTTAATGTAAAAATAGTCTCTTTCACCGATAAATTAGCAGTATTTATTTAAATATATTTAATTTTAATTATAAATAATTATTAATAATTAAAATATTTAAGTTGTTAAAGTAATTACAAAAAAAGAATTGGAACTTTAATTTACTA